ATGTGCGTGTGTATGTGTGTGTGCGTGTGTGTGTGCGTGTATTTGTGTGTGGTAGCTAAATGACGATGTGAGGTAGCAAGACATTCATGATCTGTGAATTATGGAGAGATGTTAAAGCTCAAGATGTAAGGAAGCAGGCAGGGATCTTGTAATAAAACAACTTGCATTACCTATTTGCAAATAAACTTGTGAAGTAATTTACTACTAGTTTTACGAGGTGAGTAAAATGAATATTAAATTCACTTGCATTCATCCGTTTTTCACACTGACTTCTATCGGTTTATTGTAATGACATAGTCAGTGGCGTACGCAGGGGGGGGGGTGTTTGGGGTGTTAAACACCCCCCTGGCCTCTGTCCCAAACAAACATTTAAAAAAAGAAAAGAAGAGGAGAGGAGAAAAGGGAGAGAGAGAGAGAGTGTGTGTTGTGTGAGAGAGGAGGGAGAAAAAGAGGGAAAAAGAGAGGGAGAGAGAACAGAAGGGCCCTATTATCCTGTTTATTAAGTTTAGTATTTATAAACACCCCCTCCCGAGCTGTAAGAACAAGGTAGCCTATAACGCAGGGTAAGGAGTGTGTACGAAAAGTGGCCCGAAAATCTTCCCATTCGCGCACGATATAATATTCCTTTTTAGATTTATTTTTTTAACGTTTTCAAAGGGCACCGGAAAAAACAGCTCGCGACACCAACTTTTATGATAAATATTTATATATGTATTATAGACAGAACTTCGTTGGCGAGAAGTGAAATAGTTCGTACCTATGTTTCCTACAACGTGAAACAGTCGTATAGAGCCGGCCGGCTACTTCAAAACAGAGCCTGAAGGTCGTATGGCGCAGCGGCCGGCTTTGATGTACGCGATCGATCGCGTACTATATATAACAAAGGCATGCTATCGTGCTATACTGCCGCGGTAACACTTCGGTTACTCGCTCGTTCAAAGGGACGATTACTTGAGCTCCAGCCAATCGCGTAGCTCAAAAGATATCCTCTACATCTACCATCCTAGATGGTATTCTAAACATGCATGAAACTGCGTTTTACGATTCACGTTTTCTTGCATCTTTTTCATCATAAAAAATATTTTGGAGGTAAGTAAGGTAAGTAAAATGACAAGAGTCGGATATTTGAATATGTAGGGGTCGGCACCCTGACCCCGACCGTCTGCGCCGCTCACTGCATCGACCGTGGCTACATATTCATGGGTCTTGCTTACGGAAAGAATTGTAAATGCGGCATGGCATACGGAAAACACGGACAGCTGGCAAAGACCGACTGTAACGTGGCGTGTCCGGGTGACGTCAGCGTCATGTGCGGAACGAGCAGAGTGAACTCGGTTTACAGAATTTACAAATGTAAGTAGAAATACGCCGTATTCTCTTGTTTGTTTCTAGGCGCAAGCAATCGTGCATAGAGGGAAACATTACATCATAGTATGATATATAGATCAGTCTCTGTCTATCGAGGCTCGCTGCCTCCGTAAATTGTCTGGAGTTAGCGTGATTATTAGACGTATCATTATATTTTCTTCTTCTTCTTCTTTTTCTTCTTCTTCTTCTTCTTCTTCTTCTTCTTCTTCTTCTTCTTCGTCTTCTTCTTCTTCTTCTTTTTCGTCGTCTTCTTCTTCTTCTTCTTCGTTTATTATTATTAATATCCTTATAACAATTTGTTGGTCTTGCTATTAATGTTTTCGTATGTTTGTACCAATTATGTTCACTCAAATGTTACCTATTTTTTCAAGCGTTTTAATTTATCTATCACAGATTGGGGAAATCAGTCTACCCACTTTGTAGGCAGCCAATTATTCTACCCAATGACACATCACGTGACATTCATTAGAGAACGTACACTCGTGAAATTCTATTCTTGCTTCTTACACAACAGATGACGACTTCAGCGAATTGCTATTCCACGACAGCCTTGTGTCCGCAGGAAACGGGCTAACACGCAATGTAACAGCAAGCCCGGCAGTAGGTGTCGCCTCGGTGTTATTGTGCGCAGGTCACTGCCTTGAGTCGCCATCTTGCTTTGGAGTCGTTTGGATTCCAGGAAGCGTTAACAACTGCGTGCTTATCTCCGGTATTGGCAATCCAGGCGTCTACACGATTCCCACAGGAGGAAAATTCTATCACGTATGAATAGAGTCAGTGAGTGATGAGTTTATCATGTATCTCGTCAATGAGTTTCCTAATTCTTTACCACCATCTGTTGGATTGCTGTGTTTGTTTGTTTGTTTGTTTGTTTGTGTGTGTGAGACAGAATTTGCGTTATATCAACATATCTGCCGGACCCCGGGTTTTGACGATGTAACTGATAATGTGATAATAATACTATAAACATAGTGTTATGTTAGAGTATGTTCATCGGATTTTATGATGAGATAATGGAATAGTGAGATTGATGAATCTATTCCAGGATAAATCTATGTGATTTGATGGATCAATTGCAATTATAAAATATTAATATGAAATGAACGTACAATTTTACTATATAATTATTATT